CTCTGTCTCAAAAAAAAAAAAAAAAAAAGGAAGGAAAGAAGGAGGGAGGGATGGAGGGAGGGAGGGAGGGAGAGAGAAAGGGAGGGAATGTGTAAGTGGATAACTGTGGCTGTGTTCCATTAAAACTTAATTTATGAACTGAAATTTAAACCTTGTAATTTTCACATCACAAAATACTCTTTTAATTTTTTTCCAACTATTTACAAAGTAAAAAGCATTCTTAGCTTGCAGACCATACAGAAGTAGGTACCAGGTTAGAATTAGGCCCTGCTGGCTGTATTTGTGGACCCTTGGCTGAGGATATGGTCAGTTTTTAAAAAGTATTCTGTACATGCTTGAAATGAATGTGTTTTCTGAAATTGTTGGGTAGAGTTTTTTATATGTTTCCATTATGATGAGTTTGTTAGTTGTCTTCTTCAAATCCTCTGTATTCTTGCTGTTTGCTAGAAAATATTTCCTTGGAAATACAAAATTAATAATGAAAAGGTCACAGATTGTAAGTTTACAGCATGATGGATGCTTTCAAAGTGAACACACTTGTGTAATCCCACCCCAGATCAAAACAGAGGATATTGCCAGCCCCCAAAATTTTGTCTCATGCCCCATCCCAATCACTAATACAGTGAAGAAGTGGCTGCTAACCTGACTTCTGGGCCTGTTGATTCATTTTACTTGGTTTTGAACTTTCTAGGAATGAAATTATGTAGTAGGAACTTTTTAGTGTCTGATTCTTTTGCTCATCATTATATTTGGATTATTTTCATGATGTTACATGTAGTTGTGGTTTTTTCATTTTCCTTACTGTGGAATATTCTGTTAGGTGAATATAACACAGACTTAATTTATACTCCTCTGGATGGACCTTGTGGCTGTGTTCTGTTTGGTGAATTAGTATAACTTGCCTTTTCGGTTTTGTGATGGGCAGAGTTGTAGAAAATTCTATAAAGTCAAATTTATTTTCTTTCTTACCCTAAAAAATTCTTGCTTATCCTAAGGTCATGAAGATTTTCTCATATTTTTATCTAGAAGCTTTATGGTTTTAGCTTTAACATTTCAGTCTGTAATCCTCTCAATTTTTGTGTGTGATATGTGATGAAGGTCAAGGTTCACTTTTCCATATGGCTCTCCAGTTGTTTCAGTGTCTTTATTGAAAGACTTTTTTCTTCCATCAAATTGATACACTGCCTTTATTGTGAATCAATTACCATGTAGGTATGGCTCTCTTCTTGGATTCTGTATTTTGTTTTATTGAAATTTTTTTTATCCTGGTCCACTATAATGATTTCTTAATTATTATATTTTTATAGTGTGCCTTCAACTCAGGTAATGTCAGTCTTATTATCGTCTTGATTAACCTATTTCTTTTCATTTGCCCATGAGCTTAGAAGCATTTGGTGCATGTATATTTTTTAAAAAGCTTGCCAGAATTTTGTTTGGATTTTGTTGAATGTATAGTTTAATTTTAGAAGAATTGACATCTTAACAATGTTGAAACTTCCAGTCCATGAACATTGTACATCTTTCCATTTATTTAGCTTGTCTTTAATTTATCATCACTGTTTGGTAGTTTTCAGTATAAATGTCTTGCACATTCTTTTGTGAAATTTATTCTGTTTTGATGCAATCATAAAAAAAAATTTTTACATGTCTTTTCCCAATTGTTGGTTGCTAACTTTCAGAAATATAACTGATTTGAGGAGTATATTATTTTCTAAGGCTTACCAAAATTCACTCTCTAGTTATAAATTTCTTTGGACTTTTCATGTACATAATCATGCTATCTGTGAATAAAAACAGTTTTACTTCTTTGGGAGGCTGAGGTGGACGGATCACGAGGTCAAGAGATCAAGACTGTCCTGGCCAACATGGTGAAACCCCGTCTGTACAAAAAAAATACAAAAATCAGCTGGGCGTGATGGTGCGTGCCTGTAGTCCCAGCTACTCAGGAGGCTGAGGCAGGAAAATTGCTTGAACCCAGGAGGCGGAGGTTGCAGTGAGCCAAGATTGTGCCACTGCACTCCAGCCTGGCGCTCTGGCAACAGAACAGGACTGTCTCAAAAAAAAAACAACAACAACAACAAAACAGTTTTACTTCTTTCTAACCTTTATGTTCTCTTCTTCTCCCTTACCCTTCTTCTTTCTCTTAATTTTCTTTATTGTAATGACTAGGATCTTCAAAAATGTTGAGTAGAAGAGGTGAACATAGACATCCTTGCCTTTTCAAATCCCTTTGGAAACCACTTAATCTTTCATCATTAACTATGATGCCTTTTCACCCTCTTTAAGCTCTCATTAAATTCAGGCAGTTCCCTTCTATCCTGGTTTGCTGAGAGTTTTTGTTCTGTTTTGTTTTTCTAAGTATGAATTAGAGTTCAATTTTATTTAATGCTTGTTCTGTATCTGTTAAAGTCATACTGTTATTATTCTGTATTTTGTCAGTGCAGATTTTTGCACATTGCAAAAATAAATTGCATTGGTGGATTTATGAATGTTAAATGAACTTTGAGTTCCAGTGGAAAATTCTGCTTGATCAAGATATATTGTCCTTTTTTATCTTGCTGGATTTAATTTACTAAAGATTTATAAAGAATGTTTGCATCTTTGCTGAGAGATATTAGTCCATAATTTTCTTCTGTCAGCTCTTTATGGGCAAACACAGTCTCTCATTCATTATTGTATCCCAAGTCCTTTCACCAATGCCAACCACAGAAAAGGTGCTTTACAAATAAACAGTTTTGGAGAGAAATCAAAAGACCTAGGATGGAGACCGACATTCATTCATTTAAATTATTTAAAATATTAATGAATGTTAATATTTTAAATAATTTAAATGAATGAATGTCGGTCTCCATCCAAATTAGCAGGTATTTGCTTTCCAATTATGTGTCAGATACAGATACTCAGAAGGGGTTTTCTTCTTCCATCTCCAGCCACTCCTTCTTTTCTAATTGTTTCTCATGTCTCTAACCTCTAAACATTGGAAGGCCAAAAGATATAGTCCTTGAGTCCCTTTTCTTGTTCTTTTGTGGATGTTATCTGATCTCATGGCTAGAAACACCATCTCTAAATGAACAGCTCCAACCCCTGACTCTAGCGTGGTATGTCCACTCCTCCTCGATACATCATCACTGGATACCCAATAGGTTTCTCTAATTTAGCATGTCTGAAGTTGAGCTGATGACCCTCCCTCTCAGTCTTCTCCATTTCAGGAAAACATAGCTCCAGGCTTCCAATGGCCCGGCCAGAAACTGTGGCATCACCCTTGACGTCTATTTGTCTCTCCTACCTTATTAACCATCCTCAACAAATCCGGTCAACTCTACCTTCAAAATATATCTATCACCTTTCTCCACTTCTGCTGCCATTCTGATCCAAGCCATTACCATCTCGTGCCTAGGTTATTCAGTAGCCCCCAGCTGGTCTCCGTCATTCCCCTTTGCAGTTTTCCCAGCACAGGTGCCAAAACAATTAAAGTGGTATACCTTTAAAATGTAGGTTAGATCATATCCTCTGCTTTCATAAACCCTCAGGAGGCTTTGATCCTATTCAGAATGGAAATCCAGAACTCTTAAAACTTCCTATAAAGCCCCTCTTGTGACCTGCTTGACTTTAGCTCTTAATTCTTCCGTTTACTCACTTGGCCTCAGCCACGGTGACTTCCTTGCTGTTGATTAAACATACCAATTCTTCCGCCACCACAAGGCCTGTGCTGTTTCTCTGCCTGGAATGTTCTTCCATTAGATGTCCTCATAGCTTGTGGTTCATTCATCACTTCTTTTAGGTATTTACTAAAATGTCATCCTCTCCTTAAAGCCCTCCCTGGCCGTTAGATCCAACTGGAGACCCGTCTCAAAAAGAAAAGTTCTGTTGCTCTTCCCTGCTTTAGTTTTTACCTTAGCACTTTTCCTGCTTATTATATATTTTATATGTTTATACTGTTTATTCTTTGAAATCTCCAACAAATTCTAAGCTCAGTGAAGTCAGGGATTTTTGTACTATTCACTGTTGTTTCCTCAGTGAGTAGAACAGTGTCCGTCACATAATAAATATTTTCTGAATACATAAATAAACAAGTAATAAGTGAATGAATATAAGAGTTGTGATCTCATGGAGCTTATATAAGAGTTGTGATCTCATGGAGCTTACTATTTCCATGTTAGTGAATAAAATTAAAGAAATTCTAATGGGACAAAAAGGAGAGAGAAAAATAAATCCAAAAAGGGTAAGTACAAAAACTTGCGAGTTTTCCACATAACAGAAATGGGTTCAGCTATGAAAAGCCAGTCTCTTAAAAACATAGAAGCCAGGTGAGGTGGCGCAACTGTAATCCCAGCTACTCAGGAGAGTGTGGAGGGAGGATGCTTGAGCCCAGAAGTTCAGGCTGCAGTAGGCTATGATTGTGCCACTGCACTCCAGGTTGGGCGAAAAAAAGAGACCCTGTCTAAAAAAAAAAAAAAAAAAAGTAGAAGGAAATGAAGGTAATGCAATATCTTGGAAGCAGAGGGGGTAAAAGGTAAAAGAAGAATTAGGACTGTGTAGGACTTTGTAGTTGTTGACAGGGATAGTCATCATCTCCTTTAAGAGTTAATATATATCAGGACCCGTAGCTGCAACATTACCAATTCCATAACTGGTTTCAGATGGATGCAAGGCTAGTGTTGTGCAGTGAAGCACATCTGTGTACCATGCATAATTCACATGATGTAGGCACTTAAGAGCAATGCCATTTCTGTAAATGACAAGGGAATAAACAAATAACCCGGTAAAATTTTGTCGTTGGAAGTTTTGCTGGAGAATCCCTGGTAGAGGAGGATTGTTGGAGCAGTCCTGCTTCACTCGATTTGAAAGCCCTGGACCTGCATCCTGTTAAGATCAGCGTCTGCTCTGTGGGTGACAGCTTACGTGCTTATTGCAGCTCTGACATCACTCAGCTATTCTCCTATCTTTGATTTGACTGTTAACCGGTTTTTAAATTTTGTTTTTTCATTTCAAATCAACAGGTTCCATTTTTTGGGCCTCTGTTTGATGGAGCCATAGTGAGTGGGAAGCTGTTGCCGAGCCTTGTGTGTGCCACGTGCATCAACGCCAGCAGGTCTGTGAAGTGCCTCATCCCACTCTACCAGAGCTTGTATCTTTTTGCTTTAAATATGTAACTTACTAACCATCCCAGAATCAAGATTCCTGGCAGTTTTTCATAAGAGGTAAGTATTCAAAACTGAATTGAAGAGGGAAGATAATCTTTTAACCTCTGTTAAAAATAACATAGTGTGATTTTTTCATAGCATTTGTTAGTTTATATTAAATATAATTTTGTGCTGCATTCAACTTAGAGTTTACTTTCATAATTTACTTATATACATTTGTGTCTGAGAAGCTGTGACCATTATGAGATGCTGATATCTCCTTAGGTGTTTTGCCCCACGTTGCAGTCTCATCCAGCATCCCTCTTATTTGTGGCAGCCCATTGTGGTATAAGGTGGGATGCTGAGCAAAACATAACACTCATTCAGAGTGCCTACCAGAACCCAAAGCAAATGAAATGATCCTCATAAGTCAGAGAATGTGGCAGGTTCCACCTGAGAAGTGCAGGGGGGTTTCTGGTAGATCAGAGGAGACAGAAATTGCATCTGGTTGGGAGGGGAAGGAAAGGTGTCCTGAATTACATTGCATTTGGACTTATCAATAGGAATGGCTAGAAATTATTTTGTAATTTTCCCAAATCATTAATATTTTCTTCTCTAGTTCCTGATTTTGTTTCCAAAAACAGAATAAATTTCAGTCTTAAAATTTTTTCCTCAAACATTAATTGGCCTGCTGTAATCCTTAAATTCAAGCATGATCTCAAGTTATAAGAAAAAGAGATTAAGATGTGTGACCTCATAAAATTAATGCAAAAAATAATCTGACCCCCTAATAAAACTTAGAATCTCTTTGTTTTTAATTGGTGTTGATAATAATTTGAAACGTATTGTGTTTGACCTCTGTATATACTTCTCCCAACCTAATAGTAAGTGATGCGTTGCTAGCGGGTGAGAGTTGGGGGTAGATGAAAACTATCCCATGTGAATAGATACAGTTCATGAAAAAATACCTTTCATTAAAACCATGGTCACTTCATTGACTGATATTCTGCCTTTAGATTTAAAAAAATACATATGCCATGTGGCAACTTAGAATTATCATAGAAATGAGTAGTAGAAAGGAGCTATCAGGTCCCATCTGGTCCCTCCCCCGAGGGCCAGGGCAGCATTATTCCCTTCAGTCTACCCTCGTGCTTTGTCCAGGCCGGTGGTGAGTGTTTTGGAGATGGCATTCTTTGCAGTGATTTCCACAACACTTCAGACGTAATCTTATGGCTGGTGTCAATTTGGCCTTCAGCATGCAGTTTTTATTTCGCATGCCGTTAAAAAGGGCCTCTTGGCAGAAATAAGAAAGACCTATTCAGCAATTGGCTTGTCAGTTTGCACATCAACTAGGACGAGCTGGGCACTCATCAGTCAAGTATGTTGGACCAAGGTAGCAAAAATAAAAATTTATTTTACAAATAAGAAAATTCCATTTTATATTAATTCCATTGTGACTTTTGTCGTGTTACCTTCTCTACTTATTGAACTTCTCATTGTAGTATTCTTGCTTTGTTATTTGGTTTAATACTGCTTTCTCAAATAAGAATTAATGTGATACACTTGGCATAATCAGATATAGGGAAAAGGGTGTTTTTAGAAGTTCAAAGGATACTATTCAGCATCACTTTAAAAACCTTTCAAGCATTGACACATCAGGACTACTGTGGATACCAGCTAGGGCTACCGATGCTATTGTGTGTTAGTAAATCTACTTCTACTCATAAAATACCTAACTTGACATCTCAAAGGACAATATAGTACCGAAATTAGGAAAAAGTAAAAAAACTATTATGTTGATCATTATAAATATTTTAAACATTTTTTATCTTATACCTGGAGAAAATTTAATTGGTATTATTCAAATAAATTGTTTAAAACAAGAAATCAACCATTATACATAATTTTATATAGAGATGTCGTTAGTGGGGAAGCCTTTGCAATCATTTAACTACTCTGTTAATTTCTGTCTGCAGAAGGGCTAATATTCAGGCCAGAAATGAGGGATATAATAAGAGAAAACAAAATGGAAAAAATAAGGAAAAGGGGAGGGTTTTTTGGATTTTTATTGTTTAAAAATGACTAATTTTAAGAACTATAGGCCAGGCACTGTGGCTCATGCCTGTAATCTCAACACTTTGGGACGCCAAGGTGGGTCGATCACTTGAGGTCAGGAGTTCGAGACCAGCCTAGCTAACTAACATAGCAAAACACTGTCTCTAGCAGAAATACAAAAAAATTAGCCAGGCATGATGGCACACACCTGTAGTCCCAACTACTTGGGAGGCTGAGGCAGGAAAATGGTTTGAATTCAGGAGGCAGAGGCTGTAGTGAGCCAAAATTATACTACTGCACTCCAGCCTGGGAGGCAACAGAGCAAGACTCTGTCTCAAAACAAAAACAAAAACAGAAAAACAAAAAACACAACTATATCTACCTAAGCTATTAATTATTATTTCCTTTATGTTTTGTTAGATCCAAGTCCACATATGGTTTGGCAAAAGTCTGAATTCCATAGATTATGTCATACCTGATGTCTGGAATTTGCTGCTTTATTGAGATAAGTCATAGATTTGAATTTTGAAAACCACTGAATAACCTAACAAATTCTAATTATGGGTGTCTTGTTACATTTATTCATTTTCCAAACAACTACTGTGGACTCACTATTGCCAAGTCCAGTGCTAAGAGCTGAGGCTACAGCAGGGAGAAAGGTAACCAGGTTTGTACTCACATGCTTCACACAGAAAGCCCATACATAGATTAAAAACATATATGAATTGAGAGAAGTTCTGTAAAGAAATTATTAATTAATAGAGAGTTGGGGTAAAGAAAGGCCAGGGCACAGAAAGACTTCTGAGGAAAGAGCATTTGGGCTGAAATTGGAGGGATGAAAGAGAAGCAGTCCTCAGAGAGCAGGGATGGCATTCCACACAGAGGGTACAAGGACTCAGATTGCTCATGAGTGATAAACTTGCATTTTTCCAGGATTCTATGCATGTTCAAGTCCATCAGGTACCTGTGATGGACCCAAGAGCCAGATTCCAGAAGAGATGGTGTTCTGGTTGATCCCTGAGGAAGCCGTACTTCCCTTTCTGCTCATGCCCACCCTGGAAGTTCTCATCTTAGCACAGCATCCCAGAGTAAACTCCCACAGCTGCCTGATGTCAGGTGCAATAAGTGGGGAGCAAGTGTAGGGCCCACAACCCCAAGCCTGTGCAAGCCCCACAAAGGCCGAGGAGATCGGCAGTACCTTGAGCACACCTAGAACAAGGGCTGACTATATAACCCATGGGTCCCGGTGCAAAACGAAAATGTAGGGCTCCTTTTTCAAAAAACAGGAAAGAATGCCTTTAAAGGTCCTAAAATACAAAGGTTTTCCCATTTGTGTGCAATCTCTCAACTTGTCATGGTATTTTTTATTTGCCATGTAGTGTTTTAAATAAAGAAATGTTAAAAATTTAAATTGTTGGCATTATCTTTTTCTTTTTTTTTTTTTTTTTTTTTTTTTTT